GTGGCCACTTTGATGTAAGTTGTGGCTTATGTTACTGGCTATGGAAACTGCTTGTAAATGGGGAGGCTAACCTCTGCCACCTGGCACACTCATGCAGGAAGTTCGTTGATACCCAGAACTGCCTCTCTCACTTCCTCTCTCAACCCTGGTGTGAAAATGAGGTGGTCAATTTTTCAAAGAAATTGTTTGAAAACATAAAAGTAAAATACAACACAGGGTTCAATGCTTACTTGAACATTGCTATAAGAGAATGGAGAGAAAACTATTACAATAACAAAAGAAAAAAGCAGATGGCAGTAGAAGAATGTGAATAAGGTAAGTAGGTGGGAGACATAGATGAAGGCAATGTTTCTCTATCTTGGAACAAAGACATTTGCTACTTTGGAGGCCTGTTCAATGCATTGTGGGTTGTTTAACATTCGCTAGATGTCAATAGTTCCCATCACCCAGATGTGAAAAACAGACATAACCAAATGTTCTCTGGAGGCACATTTGTCCTTGATTGAATACCACTGAAAGAAAAGAAAGAAACAAAAGTAAGAGGACAAAGAAGCAAACACAGACAAGATTTTAATACAAAATTGCCAATTCCTTATTTTATGCCAGACACTGTTATATCCTTTAAAGACAGTAAGCATTTCACTTAATACATTACTACTGTGATACGGGTATTATTATTTTTGTTGTTATTGCTTTTTCAAGATCTTAGAAAACAGAAGTTGTGTAGTTTCAATAATTCGAACAAGATGCTGGGTCTCCCTGGTGGCACAGCGGGTTAGGCACAGTGGGTTGAGCGCAGCGCTGTGAAGCTGCCCACAGCCTCTGCAGCACAGGTTCAATTCCCAGCCGGCCAGGGAGATTCCCACATGGCAAGGCAGACCTCTCCTGTCTCATCTGCTGCTCCCCTCAGCAGTGTATTTTGGTCCTTCTGCCTGTTCTTCTCCCTGCTCTGTCTCTGGTGAATTCTCTCACCCTCCCGCGCCTCTGGCTAGTACCCCAGTGCTTGTATAAATAAATACATCTTAAAAAAAAAAAGATGCTGTGTGTCTCTGATGCAGTTTAATCACAGTTTGAAAATATAACTGAAAGTCACATAATGCGCTAAGTGTTGCTTACAAAATTGGTATACCAGGCTATCTGACGTCTTTCTGTTCACTAAGTACAGCAAAACTAAAATCTCAAAATGTGTAATTGGAATCATTCTCACTGTTGCAAATGACACATTAATGGACACAAATATAAACTTAAAAAAAATTTTCAAAAGCTTGCCAAAGGAAATACCTTCACAGTTTTTGTAAAGTGCTTGTCATTATTAAAGATAAATTCTGCAAACTAAAGCAAAAACCAGAGATACATTTCTTCCTGTCTCTGTTCTGGAGCACAATAGGGAAACAATATCATAGTAAAAACCAATCAAAGAAAACTACACAGAACTGTTTTTGCAATGTGTCTCTTTCAAAAGTGTCAATTTTCTCAAATGTTCTCACACTTCAAAAAGAATCTTATTACATTTTCTACAGACAAATTTGCTAAAGATATCACATAGCTCAATAATTTGAGCTCTCACCCAATGTGATAAAGTTGGATCCACCTTTCAGTTGGAAGTATATTCCTTTGCAAGAATCATGTGGTACATTCTGCAGGAAAGTAATGAATTGTAGAGACACACAAACTTAAGCTTCTCTGTTCGGTAATAAAATCAGTTGAGATTTATTTTTTAGCCACTCTGATCAATACCAGGCTTATGCACAAAATGTAAGCAGAAAGGATTTTAGTATCTGTTCATTACTTTCCTAGACTCTGAGATCTGAGCAGAACAGGCTGAGAAGGCTGTTTTCTTGGAATTTTCTGGCATTCCACGTACATAAAGTAGAATGGCATGATAACAAAAGGAGAAGATCAATTTAGGGGAACTATCCAAGAATGATATATTTTTGGTTGAGAACCAGATTGGTTTCAGAGGTAAATTAAAAGAGACATGGGGCAGTAAGGATGGGCTGATGTCAAGGCAGCTGCTTATGCAAGCATGTATGTTTACGAAGGAAGAAAGTATATGTTACATCATGAATGAACCTAAAAGCCCATAGCTTTTTTGCTCTAGCATTGCACAAAATAGGCTGGCCTTCAATGTGGGGCTGGTGTCAAACTCACAGGGTTTCTACACTATTGCCTTTTTTTTAAGTATGAAAATCCTGATTCTTCTGGACCCTACGGCATTAGTTAATATTTATTAGGTTCTAGTTCAACTAGAAACTAATCCTGAAAAACGTCAATTAAAAAATGCACGCAACTTAAGTGTGAAATACTTTTTTTATTTATAATATACAAATTTTCTACCCATTTCATTTTTTGTAGACTATACTATTCTTACTATTGTCATTGTCAGTTTAGTAATTAGTAGTGTACATTTAATATTTCTGTAATCACTACAATCCACCCAACTGTTGATTTTATGAGCTGCATGTGTATATGTACATACATATATATGTACATGTGTATATATGTGTGTCTATCTATATACATAGAGAGAGAGATAGCATTGGTTTGAAATGTTATTAAAAATCTTTAATAAAGATATTCATGTCTTTCTAAAATTGGGTGAATGAATAGTAATACATAATGATGAAGAAAGTCATCAGGGAGATAGAAGATTAACCTTTACTCCCAGTTTAATTTTAATTGATTTTTTTTTCTTTAACTGATTTCCATCTAAAATAAAAATTTTAAATGTTTTTCTTAGGAAATGGGAATGTAACAGGGTGGTCCCCAGGAAAGGGGGAGGTTCCAGCTTCCCTGCCCCACCCAAGGAAGGGTGGAGCGGAGCAGGAAGAGGAGAAGCAGCAGAAGAGACTGAGGAAGGAAGGAAGCAGGATGGAGCCAGGAGACCTGGAAGAGGCGCATGGAGCCTAGAGACACGTGAAGAAACTGCACTTGTCTTTTGGTCGTGGACTAGGTGACACAGATGTGGGTGAGACCCGTGGGGAGGTGACAATGGCAGCTTTTATCTTGATGTTGATTCTGCTCTTTTCCTTCCGGGCTTGTCCGGTTGTTTGTGACCCTTTTCTGTGGGTCCCCACTGGAAGATGCTTTAGACTTGTAGCAGGCTTTGGGGCCTTGTTCTGGGCCAATCCCATTTGGATGGACTTTTACCCACGAGGGGACGGGTAACTTTGGGTGCTTCATTTAGAAACTAGACTCTTTGCCTTACCTGTATTGTTTCCTAGTTTTATTAAAGTTCCTTTTCATTAAAGTCTCCTATGTTTTGTGTTGATGCGGCGGATGGCAGAACCCATTTAGAATAGGCAGGTTTGCGGGGCTTGGGCTGCCCCTCTCCCTGTCCTATAACAGATTGTTATCCTTTTAAGGTCTCATGTGGTTAAGCCATGCTAGGTCTACAAGGAAAAGATAGGATAAGATTTTCCTGAATCTGTATTAATGGTATTTCTAGTAATGATTAAATTATCATTTGCATTTCATGGTATGAAAAATTGCTTTTGTTCTTGACGGAGCACTCGGTGTCTTTCTCCTTTTGTCAAAGAGTAAATTAAATATCTCAAAGAGGCTTTGTCAGAAATATTTGCTTCTTTATTATGTTCTAGAGGTTGGTACAGCTACTGCTTTTCTTTGCAGAAGAAAATATAATAAATCGGATAAGGATGCGAGCAGAATGGCTCTCCTGCCCACCTGTGACTGTGCAGGTGTTTCTCTTCGCAAGCCCTTTAACTTTGCAAAGCAGCAACAGCAGCTCTTACCACCCACTTATGTCTGTGCACATTCTCCTTTTCTTTTTCTAATAAACCCATCCTTTTAAAATGTTAAAAAAAATAAAAAGAATACAAGCAGAGTTGTTACTAAGGTTAAATGCAAATAACACAGCTAAAGTCCTAACTTGGTAGTAAATAGCACAAGTGTGGCCCATTTTGACCATGTGTTTAAGGCTCCATTTATAATACTTTGATTCCAGGATGGATATTTAATAAAGTTTCAAATTAAAAAAAAATAAAAATAAACTCATTTGCCATCTCTGTATTTAGAATAGGCAAGTAAACCAGCTTTTTTTCCCACATCTTAAACCCTACTTAATGATTTTGTAATGGTTTTACAAAGGACAGCTTTGTTTTAATTCAGTAAGATTCTAGTGTCTCTTAATATTGTAACTAAAAGGACTATAATAAATTAACACTGAAACAAATCCACTCCAATTGATTTATTTTCTAGATAATCATGGGATGCTGCTGATATTTTGTAATGATAGGCAAAATTTGGGGGGAGTCTGACGTATAGGATTTTGAGCATCTGAATTGCCCAATTACTTATTACCTATGTAATCATTTTAAACTTTTATTTTCAAATATAGACTCAAGTTTCTGAATTAACTTCTGAGACAGGGCAAGCTAGGGTTATTAGGCAGTTTTAGGACAGTGCAGGAGGGGACCTTTGAAGAATTCAGGAAGGCTTCAGAGATAAGGACAAGCAAGGAAATGAAACCAATTCCACTGGGAAAAACAAACATCCCAGCACCACAGATAATCTTGTTAAGGATGGTCCTGGTTTTCTTCAGATGATAAGATAAAGTGTAAAGATGCTCACCGGGAGGGCTAGACCATAAAGATAAAGATATAACATGGGGAAAGACAGACCTGTTAGATAAGGAATGTGAAGATCTCCCACTCAGTAGCAAATTAAGTGAGACAGCCAAAAACTGACCAATCACAAATAGACTGGTAGAACTTTAGAATAATTAGGGAAAGAAAGTATATATTCCCTGAGACACGATTCCACTTTGGCTTCCTTGCCCCTCCCAGGCCTGGTTCCCTGGCCTGGGAGTCCCACTTTATTTCTGTTCTTTTTTCTCCTCAATAAACTTTTTCTTCTTCTAAACAAACCTGCGCTTCTCGCTTGCTTGCCTGAGCGTCTGCGAAGTTCCTGCTGCGGCTTTGTGAGACACCAACCCGTAGGGGGTCTAGCGGCTGGTGCTCAGCGCTGCCCTGCAGCCTGAAATCCGATCCTGGCTGGGAGACTAGGCCTGACAATTCCGGTATCATTTCCAATACTATTGATTCATTAAACCCAGGACTTTTAAAAATATAATCCACTATTTGTTCTTATTAATGATCAAATATTCATAATGCTTATTCTAGAATTCATTCATTCAATACAAAAATCTATACTTTTCATGTTATCTTCAAGACTGATTATATCTTACCCTTAAATAATGATAAATCTTAAAAGGGCTATTGGGGGCCTATCTATCAATATCAAACATTTTGTGAGGTAATCTGTAAGATTGATTCCTGATATTTTTCTACTTCACAGACTCATACTTTATATATTTTTTAGGGAAAAGAAGAGAAAATGGATGCTGGAGAATACGTGAAAAACTATCCTTTGTTTAACCATTTTAAAAATGGAGCTGGTCAGCCATATGGAGAAATTGCCCACCTGTCTCCTATATGCTAGGTAAAAACCCTTTAAAGTGGGTCAAAGACCTTTAGACTGGCTGAAGAGCAATTGTTTTAAGAAACCATCAAGCAATCAATTGTTTGAGAAGTCTTTGTGATTATAAGAACTGCTGATTATGACCTTTTTGCAGGAGAATAGAGCTAGTAACCAATTACAGATAGCCAAGAATAGTTTAAGCTTGTTAACCCTAAAGCAACTCTTTTCTTTAACCCACTATCTTTATCTTATCCTGCCTTAAAACCCTGACTTTGTATATCCTGGGGGCACACTCTAGTTTTCAACTTAAGTCTTTGTACCCAAAGTTATAAATTTCTATCCCGACTAAATGCTCTTTGCTTTTTTAATTGCCTTCTGAGTCTGCAGGTTGACAAACCCAATTTATTAAACATTAAAAAAGAGCTGGTCAACTCTTCAAAAAGCTTGATGAAATCTTGAATTCAGTTCTCACAGTGGGTAGAATTAATAAACACCCAAGGACAACTGCAAGATTGCTCAATACTTAGAAGCAGATGTGAAAATTTTTAAATGAAAAAGAAAATATTGACTTTACCAAATGCATTAAACATCATGTCCTTTATTCACTACTTGTTTTTTATTTGTAAGATTTAGATTTTCTGGAATCTCTTCACGATTACACAAGTTTTCCGTGGGACATCTACATATGTTTAATATTTAATAAAAGTACCTATAGTATAATACAGATTCATTGAAAAGTCATTTCTCCAAACTGCAGTTATATATTTTGATTATGTCAGTGAATTTCTATTGAGTATATATGTTTATGTATGTGTAAGTAAATGGGAGGAAAGAAGGACAGAAACATTGTGCTCCTAAGGAATCTTACAATACTCAAAGAAGAAAAAAAAAATTACTATTACCATTTTATTATTTAAAGCAAGTGTTTCTTTTTTAAAGTTTAAATAAATGGTGCTGAAAACTTTCAGATATGAAACTTCAGGTGACACAGAGAATGGTTAGAAATCAAATTCATCTACATTAAGCTGCAAAGCTGGGGCTTCCTTGGTGGCACAAGGGGTTAAGCACCACACTATGAAGCAATCCGCAGCCTCTGCAGCACGAGTTCGATCCCCAGCCAGCCAGGAAGAAACCCATATGGCGCAGCAGACCTCTCCTGTCTCACCCGCTGCTCCCCTCAGCAGTGTATGTCATCAGTCTGCCTGTTCTGTTCCCCACTCTGTCTCTGGTGAATCTTCTCACCCCCCACATCTCTGTCCTATACCCCAGCTCTTGTATGCATAAACAAATCTTTACAAAAAAAAAAAAGCTTCAAAGCTGTTAATATAGATACACAGCACTAGTTTTCTAGAACAATGATCTGAGAGTATTCTGTTAGAGAAATTTATGTGATTTTTACTTATTCAGACAAAAAAAGTATCAGTTTTAAACTGTTCTAAGAGAAAACACATAAAATTATTCTACCAGGGACATATAACTTTTTTTTTTTTTTTTTTTTTTATATAGAGAGGCATGTTTTCTTTCTTTCTTTCTTTCTTTCTTTGTTTGTTTTGTTTATACATGCACTGGGTACAGTCAGAAGCGCGGGAGGGTGAGAGAATTCACCAGAGCCAGAGCGGGGAGCAGAGCAGGCAGAAGGACCGAAGCACACTGCTGAGGGGAGCAGCGGGCGGCAGGAGAGGTCTGCGCGCCATGTGGGACCCTCCTCCGGTGGCCGGGGAGCAGCCGGGGATCGAACTGGCGCTGCAGAGGCTGCGGGCAGCTTCGCAACCCAGCGCTCAACCGCTGCGCCACCGGGGAGGCCCGGACATATAACTTTTATAAAAGCAAAAATGGTGTTTACCAGGGAGAAAATCACATTTGACCATCATTATTTGAATGCAGAAATCGTGGCGATTTTAATATCACTTTTATTTGGAAATGACAGTGATTCCCTCCAATTGTATTTTTTATTCTAGAGTTTTTATTGTTTCTGCAGTTTTCAGATTTAGATGTCCATTCTTCTTCTGAGTCTTAGTGGCAGTTCTATTGTAGATTTAAATCTGTGCTTAAGTCCTATTTTTCTTGTTTTGACATATCCCACCCAGCTGAGCCATGGTATCGGCTTATTGTAAATCACAGTAAGAAGAACAGAAGTGAAAGGTTTTGAATAAGTGAAGTTAATTCTTATCTCTGCTCCTGGACAAAAAGGGAATCTGCAGCTTCAAGGGAAATACCACTTCAAATTCAGCTTACAGGGTAAGTGATAGAAGATATTTATTACAGTGTCCTTTGTTTTAAGTTAAATATTTATGACCCACTATATTTAGATATCCAAAAAGAATTCAGCCATAAGTCATTTATTCTTACAGGTTAATTAGTCACTTTTGTTGCTTTCAAGATATCCTTGAAGAAAACATATATAACAGTACCAGTAATTAGGTAATAAAAATTTGCCCTGTATTCAAACAAATTTTTGAGAAATCAGTTTGGGCTGTCCAATACTGGTCTGTTGGCTATTATTTCCCTTCTCAGTTTCTCCTTTAGACTGAGAAATTATATCCTCTCCTTGCTCCTGCTGACATACAACTTTCCCCTTCACCCATTGATGGCTTTTATTGTCTTTTCCTTGTTTGATGTCAATCTTTGATACCTTCCTTAAGTAATAAAAATATATATTTAATATTTTTCAAAAACTCACAGTAATTGTTCCAAGGCTTTTACTTAAATTGTGTCATCCAGATGGCAACTCTTTAAAGTTGGTAATTTTATTCTTATGTAACAGTGAGGGAAAGGAGGCAAGATAAAGATTAGGGCATGTCCATCACACATTTCATTTGTAATTAGTTTGGTCCAGAATTCCATTTCTTTTAAATCCCACTAAAGTTTTCCCATCCTTTCCTATCCTGGTAATTAAAAGTTACCAATAAATGACCACTTTCAGAATGACACTTTTTTTCTTCTGGAATGGGTTGTGACAGTAGACCAGAAGAAGTATTCAAACTCCTGGAAATATGTGTTAGAAATAACTAGTTATTTAGCTATGTACCTAATAGAAATATTGTTCCTTAGTTTTATAACTGCTTTAGTTGGCCCTATTCTTACTTGTCACATAAACTTATCGTCAACCTTTAATTATCATTCAGATACTACATACATTCCTTTGGTAATGACCCAACCACTTTACCTGATTTAATTTTACTCCATGACCCTCAATAGCTTCCTATATTTTTTTCATGTTTATTTCAATTGAACTACTTCCTCTATTAAAGACATTCTACTCATACTTCATAAAGTAGTTATTCTAACAAATCTTCCTGCTTTTTCATATAAATTTAGTGGTATGCTTTTCTGTGCTGTGGTACCACATTAGGTGGTATGTTTGTCTTTTAGAAAATGAATTTACAATATGGAACGGAATATCACTTTATATAAATTACGGTGTAATATCTTTTTTGCAAGTCTATCATCTTTTCAAAACTAAAAACTCCTCTAAAATAGACCCTGCCCCTTGTTCAAATGTGAGTCACTGACAGTGATTACTAGGACGTAGGAAGTATAAGATGTGGAGAAGAATTTAACCTTCTTTGTAGTTTGTGCTTGAATTCCCTTGAAGTAGAAGGCTGACTTTGTTGCAAAGAAGCTTTGAGAAGTTCTCTGGGGATAGCAGTTGGCCTGAGGTTGGACACGTGTTATATTTCATAGGAAATGATTTTGCATATTAAAGAAGACTGGTCAGATGTAGAGTAAGATTCCCAGAATGATAACAATAGAGAATTTGGGCAGGATAGAAATGCCTACTGGGGATTAATTAAATAGTTTTCTTTGTTATGAGCAATAATCTGTCTCCCCTAAGATATTTGAGTAAGCTCTATAGGCTTATTCACTAGAGTGAATATTACAAGGTGAATCTGAAAAAACTTTGAGCCCTACTTCTCTGTTTGAAATAAAAATGAGGACACTGAACTTCTTTTAAAACTGTTCCTTCCTCTATGAGTATAAAGAGGAGATCAAGCTAAGCAACAACAACACACACATAGATACACACACATAGCACTTTCTAATACTTTTCATTTTCTGGGACAGATAAACCAAAAGGCATGAATTTTGATGACTTTTCAGCAATATTCAGGTACAGAATGCCTATTCCTGAGAAAAATTTCAGTAAAGCAGCAGCAAAAGTTTGAAGATATCAGAATGACTAGAAGCCTAAAAGCTCAAAAGTTTGTTAAAGAACAAATAATTAATAGAAAAAGGAGCAGTATAAGCAAAGCCCGAGTTTTCTCATTTAATGCATACATACACACATAAGTACAGTAATAGTATAGCAATTAACTGCCATTTATTTGCCACTTAACTGTTATATTCACTATGCTAAGCACTGTGTATCGATTATGTCATAAACCTTGCCAGTCTCAGAGGATGCTATGAGTCTGATTTATAGTTAAGAAAAAACTGACAATGAAAGAAGCCAAATATCATTCAGAGCCCTATAATCAATAACAGTGTAGAAATTCTAAAAGAAATTCCTTCTAAAAAAAACTTATCTGATTCCAGTATCCACACTTTAAATGCCCATAAAAAGTCAATGTCAATTGTAGTGATTATCACACTAACTTAATTTTGAAATGATACACTACAAGGTAGAGCACAGGAATATTATCTATAAGTGTTACAAATTCAGGAAGGTAATTTCTCCATAAAACAGAAAATATAACTTTTTTCCTGAAAAATATTGGTTAATGTGCATAATTTTTCTTGCTCCACTTAGCTGAATATATGTTACTAAAGGTATTTTGACATGGCCTCAAAATATTACTTTGGAGTGGTCTTATGTATTTTATTTTCTCAGTGAATTTTTAACCCCAATTTCCTTTCCACCAAATCCTCAGATAAGTCTAGATTGGTGACAGACTAGGCAGATGAATATGAGGGTCTTAGTTTTCAAATAAGCTCCATTTCTCAAATTATAATGCAAATTTGTGTTTCATTAAAAGAAGTGTTATGTTTGAAATTCTTAATAATTTTTCTAACTGTAACTGTCATCAAAACAATAGTTATATTGTATTTAACATAAATTTATTTGTGATATGCTTAATAGCAACTGGAAAATATAGGTTGCTGTTTACCACTGTTTTTGAAAAATATGAACAAAATTGGTAGAAAGTGTTATGACTTTTGACAAAAATAGCCTATAAAAGACAAATTGTTATAATATTCCTGAAGCAAAAACTTTGTGATAGAGCTTTTATGTCTCATATATGACCAGTGTGCAAAACATCTCATAAATAAAAACCATCTCAGAAAATCTCAGCTAACTCTCCTGTCCCCGAATAAAAGGAAGCGCTTTCGGCTCCTGGCTCGGTTGTGCTCACTTATTACAATCAGTGGTTAGGGAAATTCCAAATACTCAAATCTAGTCCTTCACAACCAGTGCTATTAAGTCATAATCTAAATTATAACTGCTATGGTGATTGCTTCACACTGATTACAGGTTGCTATGAGGAGGCAGTGATACATGTGTTAAATGATCATTCAAATGGACTCTTCATAAAGTGTTTGGCATAATAGGGCAGATGCAGTCTAGAATATTTGAGAATTCTTCTCTACCTTTAAATACCAGGAAATGTATGTTAAGATTGTTAAAAAAAAAAAAATTCTTCATAGAAAAAGAGTCCTTTCAGCAAGGACTTTTTGGTTACCATAAACTTCAGCATAATTATATCAAAACATATAATTACAATTAAATTATAATGATTTTCCCTAAATGTAATTCACTGTTTTTATGTTCAAAAATATTTCAAAGGTATTTTTCAGACACTCCTTCATTCTCTTTTGATTATCTATCTAGTCCATAAAATTTACCATTATGGATTAGGTGAAACAGATTTCTGTTTTACGAATAGATATTCTCACTTTTCTTAAGTAACAGTAAAGTATTTTCTTCCATCTTTTCCTTTGAACTTTCATTAGGATGACCCTTCTATAAACCCACAAAATGTGAGAGTTGAGTAAGGCAATGGGTATCATTTCAACAATCTGAACTGCTACAAGACACAGTCTGCACCTTATTCATCATTATGTGATGTTCTGAGCCTGCTGAGTGCCTGGCTTTCAGAAGTTCTAAAAATTACAGTTTTATTGAATTTGTGAATGAGGAAATTGAGCTCAATTTATCTAAGATCTTGTAACCATTGAGGAAAAGCCCAGAAACAGGTCCTGATTTTTGGACTATTAGTTCATTATTATTTTGTATTACAAGTATTAACAGATCCAGATAAATGATGATATGATATACCAACCATGTTTTATTTTTATTAAAAAGAGATTATTTAGTGCTTGTAAAATGCAAATGGCTATCAAATAGACACTTGTTTTAGCCTGACTCTGAAAGTACCAGTAGTGAGATTGCAGTTTTTATAAGTATTCTAAACTCTGCAATATAATGTATAATTTAGTGTTGCAGGCAAATTTGAATTAAAAGATAAACCAGTACTCCGTAGTTCTATTTGTGCTTGCCAAAGCACAAGTACTGGAAGAACTGAACTCACTGGCTATTCATACTTTCTGGAACTGACAGTTTGATAACCAGAGGAAATGAAATTATCTCTTAGCAGAATGCTAACTAATTTAATTGAAACTTTAATTAAAAGAACATCAAAGTACATCTTTCCTTCTAATAGACAGCACCTGCAACATATGAAAATGATTTGTTTAGATTGCTAGATTTTCAATGTTACAGAAGCAATTGACTGCACCCATATGCCCATTAAAGATATTTCCTGATGAACAAATACATAGGAATTGAAAGATGATTCATTCCTGAAAAATGATGAAAAATGACTCATTCCCTGAAAAAGAAAATTTGTTTGTGATATCTAATATAGCAACATAAACATCATTAACCATCCCCTCTAAAATCTGCTGAGATCGGACACAATAATTAGGATTGCAGGTTTAATATTTTGTACGCTTCTTTTCCTTTAGGATATTTAGTAAGAAATCATTTTGGGAAAATTACCTCAATGACACATGTTGATTATACTTTATCTTGAAATGAATACTATAAATTGCACTCTTCAATTGCTAACAGTATGTGAATATTCCTCAATGTGCTAATTTATTATCCACAGCCGCATACACCTGCCAAAATAAAACACAATATACATGGTCTTATTCTATTATAAAGAAAACTTCTGGAATTTGTCCAAGTATCTAGTACTAAATCTTATCACTAACAGAAAGTATAGCTCTTAGAA